ATTCCCTAGCCATACTGAGGCATCTGGAAGAGGTCCTTAGCTGCACTGGGGTTAAAGTAGTCTTTGCCCCCTTATTCCAAACACAAGCTTTCCCATGGATATAGTCTGATGCACTACACTGACTAGTCTGTCAATGGGGCAGTCAGGTGACCCCTAGGACTGGGATCAGCCCAGCACCTGCTGGCCACTATGCACTAGTGTAGGCACCTCTTCTCTCCTCTGATCCTTGGACTTTGGTCACCAAGAACATCTGTTTCTTTCCACCAAGGCTCTCCCCTTGTACTTGTGCGCTTCCTGATTCAGAAACCTGGAGCAGCAGAGGTCTGTCAACAGTTATTCAGCTGCTTTTGAAGAAGGATCTAGTGCTCTTCCTGAAGAGTGCGAAACCCACATTCAAACACAGCTCCATGGTCAGCTTTTGCCAGCCGTGTGGAAGAACAGGCTGTGGAGAAAGAATTGGAGGCCCCTGTGCTGCCTCCCTCCTACCTGAGCCTTCTCCCCTGGGTCACCACAGCAGAGGTGGCAATAAAGCTGTAATCTTGGAACAGGTGGGAGAGGAGAGCAGAGGAGGCAATAGCAGCAGCCACCACCAAATGAAAGCAGGTGTTGAAGGTCCAAAGGAGAGGGAAGGACATATAACAGCCAAGCAAGACAAAGCACGATGGTAAAAATGGTGCAAGAGGTCTACAGGCTGGCCATTAAAAAAAAAAAGGAAGAAGAAATCCCAGAGGAACAGAGAGAGAGACTTGGGTCTGTAACAGCACAACACTGTTGCATTCTAGTAATAGCAGTAGTAAATGTGGATCTTGGATAGTGTTGTAAATTTAAAAAAACCTCCCTAACCTTTATAGGGAGACATAAAAACCCAAGTGTCTAGGATCCAGTGTTTTTTGGTGCTTTTGAGTCTGTGTAAATCAAAACTGGGTACTGTTTGGGGAAAAAAAAAAACATGACGTTCAAACACAGCTTCATGGTCAGCTTTTACCAGCACTTAAACAGAACTTCTGTTGGACCACTTAGAGAATCACTGTCCAGAGAATCCAATTTACACCCTGACACACCAGATGTAATCATGTTTCTTTCAGGTTCATGGTCATTTGCGCTCTACTGATTTATAGTGTCTTAGAGCAGCAGTCTCAAAGTGTGGTTTGGGGACCCCTGGCGGTCTCTGAGACCCTTTCAGGGGGTCTGTGAAGTCAAATAAATATTTTTAAATGTCTCAGTTTTAATTTCTAATACAGTAAACATTGATAGATATAACCCACCCAAACCAAAGCTCTTTGGAGACCTCAATCATTTTTAAGAACGTAAAGGAGTCCTGAGACCCAAATGTTTGCAAACCACAGTCTTAGAAGATCTTAATAGATCGGAA